CAAGACAAATGGTCTGGGTCCGTCCTTGCTACACAGCATTTGGACGCCAAGATTTGAAAGCCCCTCCGAGGGCATAGATATGAAGGACTCTCTCTCTCTCTCTCTCAAATTTTGCAAAAGCTTTTCTTTTTCGATTTGCTTGGAATGGATGGCTGCTGGATGGCTGATAGAAAATTCTAAGTATATTGAGAACTTGTTCTCTCTTTCAAAAGGAAACTTCTTTGTTTTTGCTAAATTAAAAGTCTGTTTGGTACGGCTCAAAATCCAATTAAAATTGAAAATATAGCCGTTATTGGGTCCCACTCATCTAATAAAAGTCAACAATAACGGCTAGTTTTTTAATTTTAATCATATTTTAATCTCTACCAAACACCCTCTAATTATGACTCCATGTATCAAGTTTTCACACTACATTGACAAAATATGTCCAGTTGCTAGAATTGATATGTAGAATGGCTAGCTTTTGTATACGATAAGTTTCGGTGCCATCTGACAGTCTTCAAGACATATAATTTGGGCGATTTATTCATCAGAACAAAATAGCTTTTGAGAAAAGGAAATGTAGTAAAAATTTAAGAAACGTGAAGTTGAAAATGAAACATTTAGCAGAGCTTAACTGCTGAAATGTTGGTGTACAGCTCTTGATTTAATGATGTCGGATCTGACTGATAGATACACTTGTTGCTCTTGCGATATTACCTTTACAAGCCCCTAGTTCACTTTGGATTATGTATGCTAGATCCAAATGAAGATATAATTATCTTTTTGTAGATCCGGAANTTTACCAGACCCTAGTTCACTTTGGATTATGTCTGCAAGTTCCAAATGAAGATATAATTATCTTTTTGTTTGGTTCCCTATTCAATCATCTGTCCAGCTTTATATTAATTTAGAAGATAAGGATGTTTTTGGAGATCCCATACATATTTTTAGAGCTTGTTTGACCCCTATTATTTTTTTATTAAGAATGCATTTTGAAATAGTAGATTGATGGAAAATGTGTTGTTGAAAAATAAGGAAAAATTTTGAATTTGCGTGTAATATTATTTTATTGAAGAATATGTGGTTGAAAGAAGAGAGAAAAAAATATATTTTGAAAATAATGTGAATCAAACAGGAGCTTAAATT